TTTTAGGATTATAAAGTTTTACAAGTGAGCTGTTCTGATCACCTTGTGGATATTGTGTTGCCCCTGGTGATGTTGTCGTGATGCTCAGTTGCATTTTGGTCGTAATTTTAAATCACGATTTTTGCCATCAGGTCCTGATTTAGCCACCCAAACTGATCCTTGCCGCGAGGAGGAAGAAAATTTCACATTTCTCTGATTTATCCCTCTGGAATATTTTTGTAATTATGAAAAAAGGGCCAAAACTGCAGTCTTGTATAAAAAAACTCAAGGAAAACAAATAGTGAGTACTCTTCAATATTACTTCAGGGGGATGCGACTTTCATCACCTCAAGCAGCTTGTATATATAAGGAAACACGTTTTTGTTACATTAACTGATCCTCGCCAAATCAGTGAAGCGTCTCTGTTGACATCAACCTGCGAATGAAATTCTTTGTGGCAAGGCCCCCATGTTGTGGAGTACGTAACTCCCACTGTCAAATGTTAGATTCACGACTGGCAATTTGCTGCTTCTTTTTGCAAAGTCCCTTCTGTTTTTTGCCACCAGTGTGTGAATTGATGGTCTTAGAAATGGCAGTAGTGCAAACTTGCCAGCTTGATCAAAGCCACATCGAGGAAGCTCGTCTAATGAGTTTGTTAGCATTCTTGCTAATCCACTACAAATGCCGTCAAGATGCACAAAGAATGCTTTCAGTCCCAGCTTCTGTTTCTTGACACCTCTCCACAACATACCACTGGCCCCATAATAGCAAGGGAGACACGTTTTTCCCTACAAACCAGGAAACTAGGGCCATAATTTTTGATGAAAAAAACTAATCTATTTCAGATGTCATTAGCTTGAAATCACTTTTTCATGAAACAATGATAACTTCCGCTGAAAATTGTATTGTAACTGTTTCATGTAAAATTCTAGAGTGGTCTGTGACAAAAAATACATTAAAAACAAATTAACTCTGAATAATTCAGTTGATAGTTTCTGCTATGTTTACCATTACAAAATTGAATTTTTTCATTGAAAGTAAATTCTTCCTCGCTTCATGATTGAAGTGCCGAGAAAAGCCATCAGTCTCAACACTTACACTACAATAGCTTTTTAACCAATTCTGAATTTTCGTGTTTTGTTTTAATTTCTTCAGATCACAGTGCGGGGTGTACATCTTTAGGGAATTAAACATATTATCTAATGTCGAAACAAACACGAAGGGGAGAGTGTCTTTCTCTCTGCTACAGAGGACTGCTGATATTATTTCATAACCAGAGCCCAAGGGTATTACTAGTTGTCATGTAAATATCATGTTTTCCTGTCTCTTCCAGACACATCCAAACAGCAGAGGAACTTTTTCAATTAGCCCCCTGACGTTATTAATCATTCTGTGAATGCTACGTCCTTCCTTTTCTATCTATATTATCTTTATTTCTGTCATCTTCAATTATTTAGCCATGCTGCTTACTTCCGTCAAATCCTGGCGGGAATAAAGGGCCATCGCCGTATCTATGCAATTCAGAATGATCAGCAGGATGCTCGAAAACAATGATGATATCCCAGTAGATAATTTAACGAGAGAAGGCCTGTCACATTTTATATGAAGTAAAGTTGTCTAAATGATCATAAAATACTGCATGCTAGGAATTGCCTTTCCAGCAACTTTGGGCTTCGTTTCATCTGTTACTGATGTATAATACGACTAATAGCGCGTACCATCTTTCTTATTAAAAGTTAACTAAGCATGAAACTGAAGCAATGGAGTCAATATATCACGTCTCATGCTTGTGATTAAAGGAGTGGAGGAAATGGTTGTAATGTAATTTTGGTCAGTGTGGTGTATCTCCCTCTCTGTTGCTGTATTGCTGAACACTGCCGTCTGACAAGCCAGTGCACATAGCAGATTAATCTCCCCGCAAAATACATTTATATCATTTTAAATGTCTGCTTAGATATGAGCAAGTTTTGGTGAATTTCAAAGTACAACATTTTTCCACAATTCCCATTCTGATGATTAACGAGGGTATTTTTCGATCACCAAACAACACTCAAGTGTTTCTGTGCATGGTGGTCTGTTTCAGACGGAACAGGCCTGAATTCAGTTCAGTCTGCTCTTGAAAGCAGATTCATTGAAATTTGATTTGAAATGTAATTTAAGAGGTCCTTTGAGAGGAGGAGGGGGGGAGATGAATATATGTGTGGTATAGATATGACTGTGTATGAGCTGAGTCCAGAGAAGCTGATGGGGGATGCTAGGAAGAGACGAGGTGTCAAGACAGGTGACTTGACCCTAGCTGCCTGACCCATGTGTTCCTTCTCCTGGCCCTTGTCAGTCACACTGGTATGATTCACACGTCTTACTCCACACTAATCTCCTCTCAAAGGGGCCGCCACTCCTCAAATCTCTCCCTAAACCTGTTGTCTGTCCCCACTGGCCAAGCCAGATCCTGTCTAAACCACCCCAGACTGTTTTCTACAGGTTTCTGTTCACATAATGCTGGATCATGTAGCTTTGGGTCTTGCCCTAACCCACATTCAAATCGCTCAACTTGCCAAATCCACTTAAAACTTCATCCTTTATGCCCGTGTTTAAAACACAAAACCAGCTTGACTCAGACCTGAATCAAGAATACAGACTGTTGCTTTAATTACCTTTCATCTGAAGGTGGATGCGTAATGATTTGATCACGTGTATGTTGTGTTTGCGGACTTGTCAGGTCCCTTGTTGTGACCCATCAATAAGACAAAACAAGGTCTTATCTGTTTATTCTCTGTGTTCTGACCCATCAATAAGACACAACAAGATCTTATCTGTTTATTCTCTGTGTTCTGACCCATCAATAACACACAACAAGGTCTTATCTGTTTAAACTCTGTCATACTGGCAGTGATTGTTTTGGGTCAAACCCGATTCACCAGTCAGCACCGAGGTTCTGGTCTTGTTCGTCTTGCATTGCAAAAGCATGGTAGAGTTTTAAATTTTATCAAGAATGCAACAATTCTAGACACTAAGAAGCAGTACAGACATGGGCGAAATATTGACACTGGCCTGGAAGTAGAGGCCGAGAGCTTGGAGTCATCATTATTTAACTACAGAAAACAAAAAATCCATGAGGTGGAGCCCCAAGTCTCATAATTGTGGGATAACGGAGCACTGAGACGTAATAGCGGAGCATCTGAGACATACCCGGAGCCGGTGATCATGGAACCTCTGCGTGTTAATTCTGATCAATCTTGGTGGATGGCCACAAGTCTGTACATCCTATCTAGATGGCTTGTTGGCTAATTTCACCTACAAGTGAATCGCTTAGAGTAAATACTTTCACAGCAGATCGGAATCACGAGTTTGAATCAATTCTCTTTGTGACTCGTGCTGTACAGTACGTTCCTGTGACTGCAGATAGAGGTTGATTACTTAGAATAAATGAGTGGTCACAGCATTCCCTCCTCGTTTACACCCAGATTATTGGCCATTCCTTATTCCAAGACCAGCAGGAAGCGGGTAGTATGGCTCGTATCTCACACCATGCAAGATGACTTATTGACTGGGATCTGCTTGTTAAAATAAGGGTATCGATAGGAGGCAGATCGCTGCTGATGAGCCGACTGTTTCATTCTTCCAGCATTAAAACCTCACAATGAGACTCTGTCAGTCCAAACACTTTTATCAGAAACAAATACCAAAGTTCAGCTCTAAGCAAGTGAAATCTAATCACTAACTGATTGATTGATTATAATGGGTGATGTAGCCAAAGTGGGTTGGACCTTCATACACTGTATTGAAATGAAGGTGAGGTCACACAAGTCTAGGTGCATGCATATTACAGTAATGTCAGCTATTTCTGGGGTTTTGTAACCTAGAGTGTATCTACTTTGTAGAATATTCTGTTCTTGATTATTGTTGTAAAAAGTAAGAATTACAAAGATCTATTGAATCATTTTGTGGCCTGTGTGTTGGGCATGATCAGTTATGACATAATCTTTTGATTATTTTAAACAAATTGCCTTGCAAACAGTTTTCTTATTAATATGTCCTCAAAGAATTTGATGCTGCAGGAACAGATTCAAGTGTTTCAGAGATAAAAAAGGTAGCCCAAAGATGTCTGAAGTAATTATCAATAATCTGTAAATCACAGCAAATATCAGCCTTGATATCAATGACTTCAATGGCTGATAATCTCTCTACAGCAAGCCAAACCAAGTCAGGGATATTGAACACTGAACCAATGTCACTTGGACAATTGGCGCTAGTTGCTAGGTATATATTACACACACACATACGGAACTGAAGCACAACCTATTACGTCCATGTTTGTGATCTAATCACATGTCTTAAGATGATCGACAGGAATGAAAGGAAACGCCATTAAGATTACAAACTATATTGCTACTCACATGGTGCCCAAAGCAGACCAAGTTACTGTGTCCTGAAGCAAGGCTAACGAGGTGGCCATTATACATTGTGTGCTTATAATAGACTCGTTAAATCTCTCATCTCGGGGTATTTATTGACAATCAAAAGAAAATTAATTAACTAGAAAAGATCATAGATTGTGAAGCATTCACAATGAGGATCTACATGTGAAGAACATGTGTTGCCTGGAGGATAACTAGTAGCTGCAACTCCCTTTGTGTCATGGAGTCAACTTCTTGGGCTGCCATCAAAGGAGAATTATGTTGTATGGAGTTCCTTCACTCAAAGGAGAGATATATCTCACGATGGATAGCAGCCGATGAATGAGTTTGAATCTGAATCTGGATGTTTGTAATGATGATGATGATGATGTTGATGATGGTGGTGGTAGAGTTCCTTTAGTCATTGGAAAGTTATATTTCAGGATGGATAGCAGCCGATGAATGAGTTTGAGCGTCACTAGGGTGTATGTTTTTGATGATGATGTTTTGTTGTTGTAAAGATGATGGTGATGATTACTGTCAAATATAGTGTCACTTCAGTACATGTATTTGTTAGGATGATTGTTTGACAGATTCTTTATAGCTGTTGTTCTCGGTCCACAGATGCACCAGCTGTACCCAGAGTGACTTCCCCTGTACGTGGTGTATCAAAGGCCACATTTGCAGCAACATTGTAACTGATGACTGTCGTCGTAACGAAACACTAGTTACTGGCAAAGCTGTAAGTATAGTGATATATAAAGAAACAACTGGGTTATTTAGTTATATAATTTTAACATCAAAAGAGTAACCTTTAATGACATGACTCACGTTTCCTTCATTTGTACTAACAGGTCCGAGGAACTACTCGGCGTCCTGGGCCAAAGACATGTCCAAGGATAGAGATGATCAGCGATCCACGAGATCCTCAAATTCTTGTTGCTGCCAATACTGACACTGGTATTGAGGTCAGGGGTCTGCATCTTGAGGTAAGCAGATGCGAAATAACTCCAGTTCAAAAGTTGGATCTCAATAATCAGAATGGACAATACTGTTGATTATCAGTACAATACAAGTGCTCAGTACCTATGGCCTTGGTGGTAGGGAATTAATAAGGAATTTGACCTCAGAGGTTGCTGATAAGGGACAAGTTCCACTATTTGCTCAGTACCTATGGCCTTGGTGGTAGGGAATTAATAAGGAATTTGACCTCAGAGGTTGCTGATAAGGCACAAGTTCCACTATTTGCTCAGTACCTATGGCCTTGGTGGTAGAGAAATAATAAGGAATTTGAACTCAGAGGTTGCTGATAAGGGACAAGTTCCACTATTTGCTCAGTACCTATGGCCTTGGTGGTAGAGAAATAATAAGGAATTTGACCTCAGAGGTTGCTGATAAGGGACAAGTTCCACTATTTGCTCAGTACCTATGGCCTTGGTGCTCAGAAGTTACTGATAAGGGACAAGTTCCACTATTTGCTCAGTACCTATGGCCTTGGTGGTAGAAATTAATAAGGAATTTGACCTCAGAGGTTGCTGATAAGGGACAAGTTCCACTATTTGCTCAGTACCTATGGCCTTGGTGGTAGAGAAATAATAAGGAATTTGACCTCAGAGGTTGCTGATAAGGGACAAGTTCCACTATTTGCTCAGTACCTATGGCCTTGGTGGTAGAGAAATAATAAGGAATTTGACCTCAGAGGTTGCTGATAAGGGACAAGTTCCACTATTTGCTCAGTACCTATGGCCTTGGTGGTAGAGAAATAATAAGGAATTTGACGTCAGACGTTACTGATAAGGGACAAGTTCCACTATTTGCTCAGTACCTATGGCCTTGGTGGTAGAGAAATAATAAGGAATTTGACCTCAGAAGTTACTGATAAGGGACAAGTTCTACTATTTGCTCATACAATCAACCACAGGTTTGTCTGATACAGTCAAACTGTCTCTCCAGTTGTCACATGATTCCTATTTCTGAGTTTTGGCTAACACGATAAAAAGTTCCATTGCACTGCTCACTTTGGGCTAAAACACGTCTTTTTGTTGACAGGCTTACCAGATTGGAGGAACCGGCCTCAAGTGTAACTTCAACTTCAAGTCCGGCATGACTGTTCCAGCAACTGTACTACCTTCCCGTGATAACACATTTATTATCAAGTGTCAGAATCTGAACGTAAGAATTCAATATTAATGCTTTTGTGTGATCCTGATCTTTTAGAATGTGTCAAGAAATATAATTCTCCAGGTATGTCAGAAAGTCATCTGTAGTATTCTGTACTATAAGTGCTGTGTTATCAGTAGTAAGACAAAGATACAAGTGTCGTCTGTACTATATGTGCTGAGTTACCAGTAGTAAGACAAAGATACAAGTGTCATCTGTACTATACATGCTGAGTTATCAGTAGTAAGACAAAGATACAAGTGTCATCTGTACTATACATGCTGAGTTATCAGTAGTAAGACAAAGATACAAGTGTCATCTGTACTATACATGCTGAGTTATCAGTAGTAAGACAAAGATACAAGTGTCATCTGTACTATACATGCTGAGTTATCAGTAGTAAGACAAAGATACAAGTGTCGTCTGTACTATATGTGCTGAGTTATCAGTAGTAAGACAAAGATACAAGTGTCATCTGTACTATATGTGCTGAGTTATCAGTAGTAAGACAAAGATACAAGTGTCATCTGTACTATACATGCTGAGTTATCAGTAGTAAGACAAAGATACAAGTGTCATCTGTACTATACATGCTGAGTTACCAGTAGTAAGACAAAGATACAAGTGTCATCTGTACTATACATGCTGAGTTACCAGTAGTAAGACAAAGATACAAGTGTCATCTGTACTATATGTGCTGAGTTACCAGTAGTAAGACAAAGATACAAGTGTCATCTGTACTGTATGTGCTGAGTTATCAGTAGTAAGACAAAGATACAAGTGTCATCTGTACTATACCTGCTGAGTTATCAGTAGTAAGACAAAGATACAAGTGTCATCTGTACTATACATGCTGAGTTATCAGTAAGTAAAGACAAAGATACAACATGCTGTCAGTTGTACTACAAGTGTATGTACTATACATGAGTTACCAGTAGTATAGTACTATATGTGCCGAAGTTAAACTCAAACTACACGAAGATTGCCTGTTCTATGACAATTTGTTGTAGGAATATAGTTAACTTTTTCTCTTTCAGTTCAACTACTTTCCGAATGTGAGCTACCAGAACGTGCCGTTCAACATCATGTGGGAGAACATCAAGGCTCTGGACAACCCTTCCAACATCCAGGGTACTTTACTTCATCATTGTCATGTCTGCACAGCCTGACTTAAGGGGGCAGTGGGGAAGCAGTGCAGTTAGAGCAGTTACAGTTTGATTCCAAACATGGATACCACATGGGTACAATGTGTGAAGCCCATTTCTGGTGTCCCCAGCCGTGATGTTGCTGGAATATTGCTAAAAGCGGCGCGTAAAACCAAACTCAGTCAGTCAGTCAGTCCAAACAGGGATACAACATTGGCAGAACTGAGGAAGTCTTGTGTCCTGTTCGTACCATACACCCGGGGTACAATATTTGTTCATGATGTGTGACTATACCACTGTATTGACTGTTTCAGTTACAATGTACAAGTGTCAGTTTTGTGCGACTGTACAATGTTTTTTTCCGTTTCAGTGACGATGTACAAGTGTCACGTGATGGCGGAGTCTTGTGGGTCGTGCCTGACCCAGGATGAGAAGTACAAGTGTGGGTGGTGTCAGGACAAAGAACACTGCACCACTGAACCGGAGTGTAGCAGCAGACCCTACAGTGACTGGCTAGGGCATCAGTTAACTTGTCGCAACCCCAAAATAGAAACAGTAAGCTTGTCATAATTCTAATGTTAAGGGTTTACAGGGTCGATATAAGAAATTGAACCCTACTTGCACCTAGTGCAACTTCATATAGTAACTGTTGCACCAGATAAAAAAACAGGTTGCACGTGCTGCTCAACATAACATTATGTATTATGAATGACTTTATAAAATTTCATGACATGAACAGTAACAGTCATTCAATCAGTGTCTGTGTAGACATCAGAGTCACTTCTCCAAGGACCGCCTCCGTGGTGTAGTGGTTAGAGCGTCCGCCCGGAGAGCGGAAGTTCCCGGGTTCGATCCCCGACTGCGTCATACCAAAAGACGTTAAAATATGGTACTTGTTGGTCCCTGCCTGGTGCTCGGCATTAATGGTTACAACAAGGACTGGTCGGCTTGGAGTCAGTATAATGTGTCTGAGTGGGGTATTCATACTTCACTGCGGCATGGTATCTCAGTGGGCTAGCACTATAAAACCAGCTTCAGCCTGGGCTAGTACAAGCAGCCGCACATACACATACACACGCATGCACGTCGTCATATGAGCGAAATATTCTCAAGCACGACGTTAAACACAATTTCACCTCACTTCTCCAAGCCAGTTCCTCATCAGTCTGTGGTCCATCTGAAGTCGTGTTCTTTGAACAACACAGTATTAACATGCTCTGGGTGCAAGTTGGTATAAATATGAAGTTGCCCTCTGTTGCTGATTGTCTAGGACCCAGAGCTCATGGCATCTCCTTCCAAAACACCCCCAACATCCCAGTAGCAGCATGGCAGTTCATGAGGTGTCTTAGCTGAGACATCACAATAGTGACATGCTGCTTGTGCACCTGTTCAGATTAAGGAAACAAGGGAGAACTATGACATGAATGTTTGAGGGTGTCAACTTGGGAGTAACTTCTGTTTTGATTTGTGGTAGATATCCCCCCAGTCTGGGCCTCTGGAAGGTGGAACCCTGTTGACCATTGTGGGAGAAAACTTGGGCAAGAAGAAAGATGACCTGCACGTGACCATCGGGCCGTTGGTGAACTGTGTCATCAAGGAATATGTGGCACCCAGACAGTAAGAACAATGTCCTTATTCCTGGTGTATGTGCATACATGGAGTGTGTATGTGTGCACAGTAGTGGTGGTCCGATTAATTGAAATAATCGAAGATTGGTCGCAGTGACTAAACGACCAAGCAATCGATCATGTGTTCTCATAATCGAACACAATCAATTCTGGAACACTTGTTTGCATTAACAATATTTTTCACAAGGTTGGTTTTGTCTGTTACGTTTCATGAGCACTACAAGCTCAGTCCAAGTCATGATTGAATTTATCTTAAAGACCCCAAGAGTTCCTGACATGCTAGTCATCCTTTAAAGATGTGCAATTTTGAAAAAAATAACCAAAGAACTACATGTTGTTTTCTTTATGTTTTTGTGCAAACAGGAAAATTTCATAAATGACGCTAACCAATTATTTTCGATGATTGATCGGTTGTAATGAACCAATCACCAATTATGAGGTTTAACCAATTCCCAACACTAGTGCACAGTGAAGCATTTCTGTGTGTGTTGTACCAAATTCTAAGTACCTTGTATTCCTTTCCAGGATTATTTGTGAGACAGGTCCTGTGGTTGTAGAACAACAGCACAGGGTCAAGGTCAAAATTGCCAATGAATATGAATCAACATCAGCAAGCATCTTCAGATATGTGGTAAGTAAGACTTGTGAAGTGGGAATGACAAGCTGTTCAGAACAGTGAGTCCCTGTTAATCTGGACCCTGCTGAGTTGTCTGTTACTTATAATAGCCAGGATTCACTAAGCAAGACAAGTCTGGGAGGATTTCACTGGGAACATTTTGCTAGATTGTCAGGCTTGTGTAACCTTCTGATTGAAGTGATATTCAGGCATTTCAAAATATAATAGAGTGTTTTTGCAGTACTTGTTAAACTGAGCCAGCTGATGTTTATCAGAGAATTAGGATGTCACAAACTGATGGTACTGTGATTTTCAGCTTCCGAAAGTAACTGACATCAACCCTGATTATGGGCCTCGCTCCGGTGGAACCAGGGTGACGATATCAGGAGAAAACATGGACGCTGGCACCAAAAAGACTGTATACATCAATTCCCACATATGTGATGTCATACCAGTGTAAGTATACATTAGAAAGACTTTGGCAAAAGAGAGATGATATGTACTTATTAGTCCTGTCCCATTGATAGTATCAGGAGTAAGTACAAAGTAATTTGTTAAAGGCACTGACTGATAACTGGTTGTTGATAACTAGTAACTAGCTTCAGTGCAGCTTGATAGTGATTAGATTATTCAAGGGTCCACAATTGGTATCAGGCATTTCAGTTTACCATGAAGAGTTGCATAGCCAAGCACTGCCAATTGTGACCCTGGGTCAGTCAGCACCATAACCTGCTTGTGGGTTTCCTCAATCTGATCACAAACACCAAACAGGTGAAACTTACCAAGGTTGTAAAGCATCATATCTGTGCTCAGGTTACACCAAATGTGATAAAAACAACCAACTGGTACATCTGGCTTACACCAAGGTAGCTTGAATCATGTTGCACTTTTCTCCAAATGTGTCAAACTAATAATCTGATATTCTTCCATATTGTTTTCAGGACGTCAAGCCCTAATCACCTGGTCTGCGAGACTTCCCGCAAATTGCAAGACTCGGGCCCAAGCCCTGCCACCATGTTCCCTCCAAATAGAGTTGTGGTGAAGTTTGACAACCAAATCATCAATGCTGATCATAAGATCCGATATGCCTATGTTCCTGATCCTGATGTCACTTCCATCAACCCTAAAAAAGCCATTCGAAGGTGAGTCACGTTGTCCATTTGAGGGTAGGACAGTTGGAAAGGGGAAGTACGTTAGGACAGAAGAGTGTTAAAAGGGGAGAGCACTCAAGGGTATGAACAGGACTGTTTTAAAGGGGGAGTACACTCAGGTATGAACAGAAATGTTTTAAAGGGGGTAACACTCAGGGGTATGAACAGGCCTGTTTTAAATGGGGGCTACACTCAGGGTTACGAACAGGACTGTTTTAAAGGGGGGTTACACTCAGGGGTATGAACAGGACTGTTTTAAAAGGAGGGCTACTCTCAGGGGTATGAACAGAACTGTTTTAAAGGGGCTACACTCAGGGGTATGAACAGAACTGTTTTAAAAGGAGGTCTACTCTCAGGGGTATGAACAGAACTGTTTTAAAGGGGGCTACACTCAGGGGTATGAACAGAACTGTTTTAAAAGGAGGTCTACTCTCAGGGGTATGAACAGAACTGTTTTAAAGGAGGGCTACACTCAGGGGTATGAACAGAACTGTTTTAAAGGGGGGCTACACTCAGGGGTATGAACAGAACTGTTTTAAAGGAGGGCTACACTCGGGGCCATCAACAGAACTGTTTTAAAGGGGGTCTACACACAAGAGTAAATACAGAATGTTCTTGCTGACCAAGTCAAACTCATGTAAGATGGTCATAGGAAGTCATCACTAATTCTGGACATTTTATTCCAGTGGCGGTTTACGCATCACTGTTCGAGGAAGCTATTTCACCAATGTGCAGAGCCCAAAGATGCTGCTTGGACACAACAACGAGGTCTTTGATAGCGTGAGTTATCTTCTTTACATCATCAGGACATTATTTCTTCCTGTGGTATTCACTTTGCCTTAAGGGAAAGTAGGGTAGCCCAGTAGCTCATCACCCCAAAACCAGGGTTCGATTCCTGACATGCATACAATGTGTGAAGTCTATTTTTTGGTTTTAACCAGCCATGATATTGTTGGAATAGTGAAGTAGTGAAAACCATACTCACTCTCTCGCTCACACATTGGGATTCTGGGTTTGTATTGGCCTCAAGCAACCTACGCTGATCACTGGTCTTAAGAGGCGGCTCAATGGATCAGGTGTTGGTCAGACTTGGTGACTTGGTTGATGCCAACATACTCTGATCTTGTGGATCATTACTCATAATATCAATCACTGGATTGTCTGGTCCAGACCCAATTATATCCCCCATCATGTGGCTGAAATATTGTGGAGTGAGGGGGGCTAAACAACATACACAATACTCACTCACATGAAATGACATTCACCTCCCATAATGCTGTTTCAGTCAAAGAAGACACTTATGTGTATGCCATAAAATTATGTTGTGTTTCAGATTTGTGACAGAAAGACAGACACAACATTGGTCTGCTACTCTCCAATGGTGGAGACCCTAGCCCCAACACTGAGTGACGATGTTGATCACGTTGATGTGTCGTATGGATTCAAGATGGACGGTGTTGAGAACGTCATGAACCTGACTGGCCGCAGCATGGAGGTATATGGAGTGTTCACCCTCTATCCAGACCCTGTGTTTGAGAAGTTCAAGAATGGAATGAAGTCCCACCAGAAGAAGACAGAGTTTCTGACAATAGGGGTAAGTGTGGAACACTGGGTGTCCCCAAACATTGGTTGGTCAGAGACTGTTGTGATAATGAGGGGTTTGGCCCTGTGGTAACTGGCTATTTTAGTGCACAGTTGGCTCTCTGTTAGTCATGGGTTTGAACCCCAGATCTGTGCTGATTTGGATCCTGTCCTTCAGGCACTCCTTACAGTCCAGACTTTGAAGTCGTGATACAAGAGTCAGTCTGTACTGTGTTCACCAGCTGTATTTCATTCCACCAGGGAAGTAACCTGAACCCAGCCATCCCCAAGGAGGACGTCACTGTCCACATCGGCACTGGCCTCTGCAACGTCACCTCCATCGCTGCCACTCAACTCACATGCCGACCACCCAAAAGCCAACCACAGTCCAAGAAGGGAAATGACATTCCAGAAGTTGTGGTAGGTTTTGGAAATTAGTGTTGTGAGAACGAATAGGGGGAATATCAAATCAAGACTTTAAAGATGGAACAGCGTTAGAATGTGTAAATATGAGAGTTTCATTTCTTTCAAAGTTTTTGGTAGAATTATCACAACTAGCAGGGCATTGGACTTAAGGAACTTCAAGATAATGAGATGGTGATCATGACGGGTAATAGAGGTGTGACGATATAGAAATTTCACGCTCGATATGTAGCGCGATATCTTGAATGAATCGATTCGGTGCATATCACGATATGCTATCTTTAGTTATGTTCTTTCAAAAAATCGTATTTTAATAGCAAATGACAGTGAAACTTTTGACAAAACCGTCAATATGTAGTGAAAATTAACAATTTTAGGGTCAACGATACATATCACGATACGAAAAAACGTATCGATATATTTATCGTTAGATCACGATTATCGATACTACAATATATCGTCACAGCTCTAATGGGTAAGGAAGGGTTCTGGAGGGACCACGTTGAGTGATACACTGAAGGACAAGGAACTATAACAATGATAACAATACGTAATAACATAACATGATGTCCAAGCCCACTCCATCAGACCCTGTTCTCCTTCCATAGGTGATTGTCGGCCAGAACTTGACATTCAGCATCGGCCGTCTCAAGTACGAGGAAGCGGAGATGTTGACGCTACCAGCAATTATCGGTATTGCAGTTGGTGCCGGTGTACTGGTGCTTTTGGTCATTATCGTCATTATCGCCTACCAAGTGAAGTCACGGCGTAGCAACGATATGATGAAGAAAATGAGGATTCAGATGGACTCGCTAGAGGCTCGAGTTGCCAACGAGTGCAAGGAAGGTCAGTCAAAGTACCTGTACAGGTAGTACTCAGTGTTCACGAATGGTGTTTCAAAGTCACAGGACATTGGGTCCTGTAAGTTTCAGATGTCTGTCTGACCCATTGAAAATGCACAGGACCCATGGAATAAAATTAAACACACATTTCAGATTTAATATTTCTTATAATTGACATTGAAATTATTAACAAACATAAGATTTATAAACAGCAAACAAGTGTCACATGTCACATAAAACAACTTCAGTCAAAGTCATTGTGAAATATACAGTCAGACACTGGGGCCGGCGGGTTGTAGACTTCTGTCTGACCGTTGGCGAATCTGCTGGATTTGTCAGAGGGTCAGACGCTATTCGTGAACACTGTAGTCCTGGTTTAGTTTTTCTTTCTTATCCCAGATTTGTCCTGAGTAGAATGTTTGGTCTGTCAAAAGCCCTGGTCTGGATGCATAAGTACCTGGACATTCAGCTTTGGCCAATGCCACCCAACAGTCTGGGAAACTGTAAAAGGATAACTTTTAGTTTATAAAAATTGTTGACACAGTCATTATACAAAATAAAACAACCGATCCTGTTTCAGCCTTTGCGGAACTTCAAACCGACATGACAGAGCTGACCAGTGACTTGTACGGCCAGGTGTCGATACCGTTCTGGGACTACAGAACCTATTGTATGAAGGTCCTGTTCCCTGGGGTAGAAAACCACTCTGTTATCAAGGAGCTGCAGGTGAGACCCCTTTAAAGCCAACATGGAACAGTCTGTTTATTGTTATGGGAGAGTCTATTGGATGACCGGTCTGTATGCTGATATGATGTCAAGAAGTTTCATTTTGAGCCTTTGAATTGTCTTCAGATTTCTTGAAATATTGAGTGTTTAAAATTTTAATGGGTGTAAAAGGTTGTTGTAAAAAGTATGCAACATCCTGGAATACAGTTATGCAAATGAGAATAGAATGAAGGACAACAGTCTGACAGGTCAATTTGGCAAAGTGATGTTTTCACATGAGAATTCACAAATCTCTCAGCGCTGCCATTATGCTAATTAGCTCTGCTAGCTTGTCACATTCACATCAAAGAGCTGCTGAAGGGATTCCAATTTTTGTGTTTCTTTAGCTTATTCTAATGAAGATCTTTAAAGCATGATAGTGCATATTAATTAAGGTCTTGGAGAAAAAGGAAACATTATCAAACTTTTTTAGGAATTGGATTTAGTTGGGGTTCATTAAGTTTTGATTTTCTTTTAACAGAGTGTAAATGGATTTCTCTTTGGTAAACAAGCTTAATGACACTGAATTATTTTTGAAAGGCCTTTATTTTAGTTGTCATGATAGGAGAAAAAAGATGCATTTAAAGATTTGATAACTTGCTACAAGATGATGAGATTAAAGTGATGAGAATTTTATTTTTCAGGTTGGCTATCGACGAAACCAGGAAGATGTAGAACGAGGATTGGCTCTCTTCTTTCAACTCATGAGCAACAAGACATTTCTCCTCATTTTTATCCGGACTCTTGAATCCAGTAAAACATTCCAGCTCCGAGATCGTGTGAATGTAGCATCTCTCATCACCGTTGCTCTTCAAACCAAAATGGAATATGCTACTGAGTGAGTAACACTGTGAGGAGTTTACAGATTGTGGGTGTGTGTGGAGTTGTAATTGGGTATGAGGATGGGATTGTAAATAGGAAAAATGGGATACTTTATGTTGAAGGTGTTGAGGGCTCACAGAGTGTCTTTGAGGAGTTAGGCATGATAGTGCTTGCCATTGATCAAATACAGGAGTTTTAGCTCACCAGGACTGTAGTCCATGGGAGCTCCAGACCAAGCATGGGTACAGTGTTCTGTCGGTGTTCTGTCAGTGCTACTTTTCATTAATAAGCTGGAAACTGTAAGAGGATTTCTTGCTCTGAGTTTGAGCCTTGGAAGTCTATTGAAAGTGAAGTTTACATTGATTTAGTGGAGGTTGTTTTTGCTGACTAAGAATTTGGGATTATCAAGAACCATATGTATAATAAGTCTTTATGCTGTGACATTCATACCATTTTAAGGTAAAGTTTGTTGTGGCAGTGCACAGAGTTTGTAGTTGTGTGTGGAGCTTGGAGCAGCTGTTGCCTTAATCAATATCTCTTCGCTTTCTGTCACTGAAATTGCAACCCTTGTAAATTTTTAGTGTTGACTTAAGTTTCAGAGGCTACAGAAATGGAAAGCTGGTACTATTCAGTTAAAGAATTTGCTTGGGAATATGACAACTGAGATTGAGAACATTTGATCAGGCAATATTCTGCCATTGATCTCAGGTTAGAAAATGTCAGCCTGAGAATTGAGTTGAGCAGGATTTTTACGAAGGAAAAACTATGTTGTTACAATCTCCATTACATATTCATGATCCTGCAAAGGATCAAATAGACATCATCATCATCATTATCATCATCATCATCATCATCATCATCATCATCATCATCAGGTCTGTTTCATAGCCGACATCTGACTGCTATGAGGGTGTAATATTCTCACCTGGCTAATTGTGTGTGACTGAACCTTGTCTGCAAGAAGTGGTGTTCATTATATCAACCACTGGTTGGCCTGGCCCAGGGGTTTTCAGGCTGCAGTTCATCATGTGACATTGTTGACTGATCATCAAAGAACATTCTTGTCTGACATATATTCATAACTGTGGATTGAGTGCCAATGTTTTTGTTTGTTTCAGTATACTGAAAACTTTGCTAGCAGACCTGATAGAAAAGTCAGTAGAGGGTAAAAATCACCCCAAGTTGTTACTGAGAAGGTAAGTTTGCTCAAACAGCAGTTTGTCTTGCAGCTATCCAGATGTTACTGTATCACAAGGGTTTTTCTGTATAAGTCCCTTGTCTTCTTCCATGCATGTTGAGAGGGGTGATTAATCAGGATCTTGTGGTTGCAACATGTGACCTGGCTGATTGTGTCCAGTGAACAGTTCATTGCTCATGCTATCAACCACTTGTTGATGTAGTTAGAATGAGGTACTGTCTATGGGTAACACCCACATGTGACCTGGCTGATTGTGTCCAGTCAACAGGTCATTGCTCATGCTGTCAACCACTTGTTGATGTAGTTAGAATGAGGTACTGTGTTCAGGTAACTCCCACATGTGACCTGGCTGATTGTGTCCAGTCAACAGTTCATTGCTCATGCTGTCAACCACTTGTTGATGTAGTTAGAATGAGGTACTGTGTTCAGGTGCTCCCACATGCGTGACCTGGCTGATTGTGTCAACAGGTCACAGGTCATTGCTCATGCTGTCAACCACTTGTTTATGTCAGTAGTACGTAATGCTGGTTTCAGTTCCAACATGGCTTCTGTAGGGGACATGGCACTCAGGGACAAAGGAATAAAGCAAGTACTGAGTCTACTGTATGCTGTGTCTGAGTAGGGTGTCCATGTTAAACTATGGCACTGTCAGCTGTCACTATAACAACAGCATTATTGTACACTTGTACAGATACAAACTCAGGTTTCTGTATAAGTGCAATAATCTTGAACAAGACCTGACCACTAATTCACCTCACCTGACTTGTGTACAATGTGTGACACAGTACTGGTGCTCCCTACTGTTGCTAGACAGTTGACAGATACAACCTGACTTTATGTACAATGTACAATGTGTGACATAGTACTGGTGCTCCCTACTGTTGCTGGACAGTTGACAGATACAACCTGACTTATGTACAATGTGTGACATAGTACTGGTGCTCCTACTGTTGCTGGACAGTTGACAGATACAACCTGACTTATGTACAATGTGTGACATTGTACTGGTGCTCCTACTGTTGCTGGACAGTTGACAGATACAACCTGACTTGTGTACAATGTGTGACATTGTACTGGTGCTCCTACTGTTGCTGGACAGTTGACAGATACAACCTGACTTATGTGTACACAGTTGACATGTGACTTTATGTACAATAGTACTGGTGCTCCTACTGTTGCTGGACAGTTGACAGATACAACCTGACTTGTGTACAATGTGTGACATGTGTGACATGTGAGTACTGGTGCTCCTACTGTTGCTGGACAGTTGACAGATACAACCTGACTTGTACAATGTGTGACACTGGTGCTCCTACTGTTGCTGACATTGACAGATACTGGTGACTCCTACTGTTGACATAGTACTGGTGACTCCTACTGTACAACCTGACAGATACAACCTGTACAATGTACAATGTGTGACATTGTACTGGTGCTCCTACTGTTGCTGGACAGTTGACAGATACAACCTGACTTTGTGTGTAATGTGTGTACATGTGTGACATAGTACTGGTGCTCCTACTGTTGCTGGACAGTTGACAGATACAACCTGACTTGTGTACAATGTGTGACATTGTACTGGTGCTCCTACTGTTGCTGGACAGTTGACAGATACAACCTGACTTGTGTACAATGTGTGACATAGTACTGGTGCTCCTACTGTTGCTGGACAGTTGACAGATACAACCTGACTTGTGTACAATGTGTGACAGTACTGGTGCTCCTACTGTTGCTGGACAGTTGACAGATACAACCTGACTTGTGTACAATGTGTGACACAGTACTGGTGCTCCTACTGTTGCTGGACAGTTGACAGATACAACCTGACTTGTGTACAATGTGTGACATTGTACTGGTGCTCCTACTGTTGCTGGACAGTTGACAGATACAACCTGACTTATGTACAATGTGTGACACAGTACTGGTGCTCCTACTGTTGCTGGACAGTTGACAGATACAACCTGACTTATGTACAATGTGTGACATAGTACTGGTGTCTCCTACTGTTGCTGGACAGTTGACAATGTACAACCTGACTTGACAGATACAACCTGACTTGTGTACAATGTGTGACATAGTACTGGTGCTCCTACTGTTGCTGGACAGTTGACAGATACAACCTGACTTGTGTACAATGTGTGACATAGTACTGGTGCTCCTACTGTTGCTGGACAGTTGACAGATACAACCTGACTTATGTACAATGTACAATGTGTGACAAAGTACTGGTGTTCCTACTGTTGCTGGACAGTTGACAGATACAACCTGACGATGTACAATGTGTGACATAGTACTGGTGCTCCTACTGTTGCTGGACAGTTGACAGATACAACCTGACTTGTGTACAATGTGTGACATAGTACTGGTGCTCCTACTGTTGCTGGACAGTTGACAGATACAACCTGACGTATGTTGTGTACAATGTGTGACATAGTACTGGTGCTCCTACTGTTGCTGGACAGTTGACAGATACAACCTGACCTTCTCACATCCTTGTGTTAGCCAGTCATTATAGATGGTAGAGTAAAGTGTATACAATGTAAATTTGATAATGTCTTCTGTTTTCAGGAATGAATCGGTTGCTGAGAAGATGTTGACTAACTGGTTCTCTTTCCTCTTATACAAATTCTTGAAGGTGAGAATACCAAAAATACCACTGTGGATGTTGTCTCCCAGTGATGTTGTCTTTCTCCACTCTCCCTCTCCATCTCCCATCTCCTCCTTTTCTACATTATAAGTCCCTAAACATATATCTTATGGTTCTGATAACGGCAATCTCAAAATAAGGTTGCACAGTCAAAGATTCTATTTTTTTAAATACAATTTATAGTTCTACAGTATGCCGTTTGTCATTGAATAACGAAGGAAAACATTTGTTGTGAATGAAAGTCTGTGTAGATTTTAATTTAAACCATAAAGATAATCTGGTGTTGTACCAGAACATAGACATCCTCTCCCCTCCCATCTCCACTGTCCCCCTCACCTCTCTAGGGGAGCCCCTGTTGGTGTTGTACCAGAACATAGACATCCCCTCCCCCTCCCATCTCCACTGTCCCCTCCCCCTCACCTCCCTCTAGGGGGAGCCCCCTGTTGGTGTTGTACCAGAACATAGACATCCCTCCCTCCTCCTATCCCACTGTCCCCCTCACCTCTAGGGGGCCCCTGTTGGTGTTGTACCAGAACATAGACATCCCTCTGTCCCCTCTCCACTGTCCCCTCACCTCTCTAGGGGAGCCCCTGTTGGTGTTGTACCAGAACATAGACATCCCCTCCCCCTCCCATCTCCACTGTCCCCCTCACCTCTCTAGGGGAGCCCCTGTTGGTGTTGTACCAGAACATAGACATCCCCTCCCCTCCACATCTCCACCCTGTCCCCTCACCTCTCTAGGGGAGCCCCTGTTGGTGTTGTACCAGAACATAGACATCCCTCCCCCTCCCATCTCCACCTTCCCCTCACCTCTCTAGGGGAGCCCCTGTTGGTGTTGTACCAGAACATAGACATCCCTCCCCATCTCCACTGTCCCTCACCTCTCTAGGGGGCCCCTGTTGGTGTTGTACCAGAACATAGACATCCCTCCCTCCCATCTCCACCTCCCCTCACCTCTTGCCTCTACTGATCTCAGGAGCCCCTGTTGGTGTTGTGCCAGAACATCAACATCCCTCCCATCTCATCTCCCTCACCTCTCTAAGGGAGCCCTATTGATATTATACCAGGACACTCTCTCCTGCTGCTGAATGTATGTTAAACCATCCTTATTTCTGCCACAGGAATGCACGGGGAGCCCGTTTTGTTGTACACTCTCCCCTGCTGTCTATGAATGTATGTAAAACCAGGTCCCTATTTCCCTACAGGGAATGTATGTTGTACACTCTCTCCCTGCTGGGAACCCCCTATTTTGCCCCTGTTTATGTACACTTTCTCCCTGCTGTCTATGAATGTCTATGAAGGTCCCTATGTGAAACCCCCTGTCCCTATTTCCCCATGAATGTACAGGAATGCCCCCTGTTTATGTTGTACTACTCTCCAGGTCCCTATTTGTCTATAAAATGTATGTAAACTAGGTCCCTATTTATCGCCAGGAATGTGCGGAGAGCCCCTGTTTATGTTGTACACTCTCTCACTGCTCTCTATGAATGTATGATAAACCAGGTCCCTATTTGCTCCACAGGAATGTGCCTCTCCTGCTGTCTATGGAGAGCCCCAGTCCCTATTTATCTGTGCTGGAGAGCCCCTGTTTATGTTGTACACTCTCTCCCTGCTGTCTATGAATGTATGTGAAACCAGGTCCCTATTTCCCCACAGGAATGCCCCTGTTGTCTATGTTGTACAGGTCCCTATTTCTCTCTCCCTCTGCTGTCTATAAAATGTATGTAAAACCAGGTCCCTATTTATCGCCAGGAATGTGCGGGGAGCCCCTGTTTATGTTGTACACTCTCTCCCTGCTGTCTATGAATGTATGTTAAACCAGGTCCCTATTTCTCCACAGGAATGCCCCTGTTTATGTTGTACACTCTCTCCCTGCTGTCTATGAATGTATGATAAACCAGGTCCCTATTTCTCCACAGGAATGTGCGGGAGAGCCCCTGTTTGTGTTGTACACTCTCTCCCTGCTGTCTATGAATGTATGTAAAACCAGGTCCCTATTTATCGCCAGGAATGTGCGGGAGAGCCCCTGTTTATGTTGTACACTCTCTCCCTGCTGTCTATGAATGTATGATAAACCAGGTCCCTATTTCTCCACAGGAATGTGCGGGAGAGCCCCTATTCATGTTGTACCAGGCTATAAAACAGCAGGTGTCTAAGGGTCCAGTCGACTCGGTGACCAGCGAAGCCAGATACTCCTTGTCCGAGGATAAACTCATCAGACAGCAGATTAACTATAAGATCATGGTAAGTACTGGTGATATATTCTCATTGTGAAACACAACCCCACATGCATGTCATTACAGCAGATTAAAACAAGTACTTGCAGGTCATGCCGTGCAAAGTTGCTAATTTTGTCAACCATTGTAGTCCAGAGTGACTTATTGACATATCGCTGACTGCTGCATAAACTTCATTCAATCATGTTTTCACTCCTATTTCAGTACCTTAGTGGAATTAGAAGTGTTTATGCTTGATTACAAAAACTTGTCCAAGTTTTTCTGGCATAATTTAGCTTTTCCAGTAATTCCAGCAATGTTACTGTGCTGGCCAAGATATCATGCAGGAAGCAGAATGGACCCAAGTGGTATGTCTGAGTTAACTCCCCTTGTTGCAGACCTTGAATGTGCTGGATATGGACAGCTATGCGGAGCAGAAACAGACGCACACGGTCAAAGTCCTCGACTGCGACACAATCTCACAGATCAAAGAGAAGATACTTGATGCAATGTATAAAAATGCTCCGTTCAGCAGTCGACCGGCCAAAGAAGATTTAGATTTGGGTAAGCTGGACTGTGGCAGACACTTTCATGGAAGTCATGTGACACATCACGTGATCAGAGTCATCCACAACAAATACCAATTAGCATTCCGCTCCCTGGCCCCATTTCCCCATCAACATCTCCACACACACACACACACACGAACACACACACACACACACACACACACACACACACACACACACAGCCTCTGTAACACCTATCAACTTCCTGATTCACTGCCCTCTTACCCCCCAACAGCAGTCCCCTCCCCGACCCCTTAACCACCCACCCACCCCATCCCTGTCCCTAAAATACCCATCAACATCCCCTCCCTGCCCCTAAACACCTATCAGCTTCCACCTCCCCGCCTGTACAACCTCACTCACTCACCCAAGGAAGGGATGTTGCCACTTTGTTGTACTGATGACTGCTGATGTGGTGCAGTCACGTGCCTGTCGATGCATCAGTGTTTGGGACTTGCAGTCCAGTGATTGTTTCTTCATATGGATCAGAATTCACACTCCAATAATAGGCTTTATGACTTATTCATGCAGACATGAAATTGATTAGAAATAGTGCTCCTACCTGCACCATTGTAGCTTTTTGGTCGTAAATTGTTAAAATTTATGTGCTTTCTCAAAATGATGGATTGGGATTTTTTACCCACATGATTGCTCTATCTGATATTCATCATCCAAAAGTTTATTAAATTAATTGTGAAAGCTTGCCTTTGATATAAGGGAAGTAACTCTTGATTTTTTCCAAACAAGCCTAGATTTGAGTGAATTCTGTCTCATGTAATTCAAACTTGTCAGATGAGGCAAAATCAATTTCTAACATTTTAATCATTTTTTACAAACCGAATATATATCTGGAGAAAAACTGCGAAAATTCCAATCCGTTTAACTGTATGTGATCAAACAATGTGACTGACACGTTTGAAGTGGTGCACATTTCAATCATGTTCATATCATCCATGGCCTGCTTCTGGCTCACTGCCAAGTAACGCACATTTCAAGCAAATAGCAGAGTAAAATCACTTGATTTCTGATCACTCTCTGAAAATAACAATGCGGAGTCCGAGATTTCTGTCTATAATTCAGTTAAAAGTTGGAAAACAATTTTCTTTGAAAGCTAAAGTTAATTTCTCAATCGTTTCTGTTGTCACTATTTCAGTTTGTTCTGTATATCGATGTTTTTATTTCACTGTGTGTTAATATTGTGTAATGATATTTGGGGGAGTGATATTGACAATCTGCAGTGTGTGAAAGAGACCTGCATGCTGGGTTGGGGACATTGAGGTGGTGTATGACGACTGCTGCATAACCCATAATATTCATTCTACTGATTGTTGATCTTCTACTAGTTCCCTGTATTAACCACCACTAGTTCATGGACTTAACAGAAATATCCAAGAAAGATACTTACACTCAGAAAATATGTAGAAGTTTTGTTTCTTTAACAATTCTCTTGGCTTGACCATCTGGTCCCCCTGGACCGAATAGATGTATTGAATATCACTGTATCGCAGCCTCAAGAACTTATGTCTGGTATATCATCTCCACCTTCCATTATGAATATAATGGCTCCAGTTTAAAAATACAATTATCATCTGACATTTGCCTTGTTACAGTGATTAATCTGTTACCTGGTAACACATGCTGTAATTATATTTATTCATCATAGCAAGAGTTATCAGATCACCGACAATGTATAGCTGTAGGTTCAGATTCAAGTAAATGAACAAGTGGCATTTAAGTAAACAAATTCACAATGAGGAATTGTGGAAAATAACCTTCACATTTCAAAAACTGTCCAAAGTTTTGATGTTTATGAGTAATTGTTTAAATACCTGTCGGAGATATGAACTCACCTGAACTGGGTTTTGGATCTGTGATGTGAGACGGAGGAATGGTTCAGTAGCATGTTGCTGTGTGGCCATGCTGGGGTGTGGGAGGGATGTTGTTGCATGGCGTTAGTAGTTCTCCTACTTTCTTTATCTGTAGCTGCTTTTAATACATCAAGCACATGCAAACATGTCATGAAAGTGAAATACATAAACATTTTCCTTTTGGCCTTCATAGCGTTGTACTTCTCTACCAACATCATCATGATTTTTCAAATGAAATTTGTATTCAAAAGCTGACAAAGGCAGTTTTAAGTGTCATAACAAACTTTTTGGCAGGGCTAAATTGTACATTTTGGCAAAAGAAGATAATTTCTGTCACAAGTCTATTTTGGTAAAGAAGAAAAAGAATGAGTAAATAACAACAAAATACACAACACACACAGTTCACAAATTGATATTGATTTCTGTAATTCTGTTTGCATGTGATTGATATTGCATGTATATTTTACATTCTTTTCTTTGTTAACTTTTATTAGCTAGTTAGTACTAATTAGTATTTGAACCATTTTTACTTGTATTTGTTTTTGTATTTTGTTTTGATTCAAGTACAAAACTTGACTTTTCCTCTTTTAATGAGAATTTATAAATGAGATATTTATAAATTAGCCAAATTAACATTCAAGTCTCTAATTAATGCATCTTGATGTATTATGGACAGAACTTGGCTTCCTTGTATGCATTGATGCATTTTGACTGCTTGAATATATGTAGAGAACCATTGTAGGCCTAGACTGCATGTTTCACCTGGGTTGAGGACAGACCTCGGTCATTTTCATCCATTTTTAAAGGAAATAATCTTTGGAACTTTATTTAACATTATCCCATGTAGAAAAATACCTTTTTCTAACAATATTTGTTTAAATTTGACCTGTTTACATGAGATATCTCCATGGCAATTAGTGTATCATGATGGTGATGATGTTTATTGCTCCTGTTTCCAGTATCAGCACTGTAGATGATATTGTGTTATATTATGGCGTTAGTCAGGTGGGGTAGCAGTTGGCCAGTGACATCAGTGTCCTGTGTTTGACTCCCAATATGGGTACACTGTTTAACGCTAGATCTTGGTGTCCCTTGACCTGATATTACTGGAACAGCCAGTTGCTTCTTGTGAGATATCTTCATCATATCAGCAATAAACAGCTATAGTGCATGGACATTACTTTAAACTAGTATTTTGTCTTAACACTTTAATTCCTGGTTTTCTGATTACTCCCATCCATATATGTATCAACTGGAACAAAATAGTACTAACTCTGGACATTCAACCTCTAAAGATGAATGACAGTCAGGGTCCAAATTGCCTGTTACTGAACAATGAAGTGAATCACAATCGTCTGTAAGGCCCTGTTGTCTAGATAATGGCTTCCATCATGTACAAACATCGTCTCCAGTTGAGTTCTTGGTTTGCACTTAAAGGCAAAGAATGTTGACGATTAATTGTATCAACATTTAGTTGTAGTGATCGTACTACAAGGAGATATCTCATGTACCTCCCTTTGATACCTCTCCTATTTGACTGACATTACAACTGACATCTGTCTGATTCCCGTTACGCTCAACATGGTACAACAGTCTCAGTTGAAGGGAGGTAACTCTCATCAAGATTTGAATTTTCGATGTTGATTTGACACAGTGACCACAGGAGCAATTAAATTTTTGGACACTTTAGTACACAAGTGGACAGTTTCATATGACCAGACATAACCAGTGGTCATTAATTATACCATCTGGTTTTTTCTCTGAATGTCTGGCCTAGTACTGATGAAGCAACAAATTATGTCCAATGAATTTCTAAATTAATGCATTGTTCCTGTTTTCTTAGCAACAACATTTGTTTTTTATTATTAAGGTTACTTATTGAGGAGTTCTTCACGGAACCAATTTGTACCATGTTGATCCATTATTTGCATGTACATCATCATCGTCGATCATCATCATATGGTTGTCTCCCTTGGCATGCTAGAGGGCTCTCCACACTGCAGAGCGGGGTTAACGGGGTTGTGTCATTTCCTTATTGACAGTTTTATTTGGTCATCCACCAGAATGGCTCTGCCATGAAAAATCTCGACAGCTGATTCTTCATGACGAGGACACATCGTCGAAAACGGAGAGTGACTGTAAGAGATTGAATACTCTCAACCACTATCAGGTAGGTAGAAGGACACTTCCACTCGGGCCTTCCCTAGGCACAGTAAACAGGGATACTTAGGACAAACCCCTCTGCAGGGTTCCCCTTTCAAGGAGGGGCCAGTCCCCATCCTACCACCACTTAGTGTTCTAATGACTTAAAGCTGTTGGCTAAAGTGTGCAGATTTAATGTGTTCTACAAAATGACAATGTACTTAAATATGCCTAGTATATGTCAGTACATTTGATGCCTGTTAATAATCTTTAGGAAAGACAAATCAGATCTGGAAATTGTCATGAAACGTTTGTAGCCCTGAATTAGCATCCTTTCAACAACAGTTGACATCATGACTACAGTAGTAGGTTGCCATGACAACAGTGTATATTGACTCTCATCTGATATTTCACAGGTTCCTGATGGAGCATACGTGGCCAATTGTACCCAAACAGGATTCCGTGTACAACTCTTCTATCATATCAGATAAATCAAACAAGTTTGGTGAGTATCTTCATCTAATATTTCTGACATCAGACTTTATGCAGGTGACCATTGTGTCTTCAAGCATTGTTCAAATGTCAAATGTTATGTACAGACGCAAGAACTCTGACAATTCATTCTTGTATAAGACTCCATTAGACACTTCAGTTTCTTAGTATGAGAACACCCTGATCAGCTTATCAGCCATAAGTTGATCCAGTCTGACCTTAAATTACACGCTACAATAAAGTCACAGGTACCAAACCATATTATTTCACTTAGCAGCGAGACCTTACTCTAATGATACTGACAGCACATATGGCCCGGGTTGCGTTAGGCGCCACAGTTTGCCATGCAGTATTGGGTTGCTTGGGACCCCCAAACCTATGATTGTGGGTTTGAATCCCAGTTGTACCAACAATGTTTCTGGGTTTGTCAGAGCCACATACTTGCTATTGTGTTTTGCCAAAATGGTAACGCTGTGATATCTGCTGACACACCGGGATATAACTGAAATATTGTTAAAAGTAGTATTAAACCGAACTCATTATAATGCTGTGAAGCTAACACGAAATGGAACAAGTCAAAATTTTCCACAGGTCTGACTCTCGTGTCACTGGAGCTCCTAGTTCACTTTTACATATAGCTGCCTGTTTCTATCAAATCTATATATTTATAGATACTAAGCATCACTGTAGCTTGTAGCATGATACAAGCTAACTGTGACATATAACACCTTTAATCCTCTTGTTCTTGTAATAACAGCAATATGGTCAAGACTCCTGCTGGTTCAGTGATGAATATTCCGAATATTTCAACTAATTTTAAACCTGGTTGTTTCAGACCAAATGCCATTCAATCGGAGCCCACCGATGAGCCGCACTGTGATATCCCCTCAGTCTGTTACTGTTGACTTTGACAACAATGGAGTCAAGTTCTACCATTTAGTAAGTATAACCTCACCAGTCATGAGGTGAGACTCAGTGTCATAGTTCAAGTACTGATAATTCACAAAGTTAGCTCAAGTACATATATATGTGTTCAAGGTCATCAAGATCATTCCCGAAGTCACACCCTGTCAATACAGCTTCCAAATAACTGAACAAGTTCAAGAGACCTGTGACAGTCTCAACGTTTGGGTGGGGCTACAAGGTAGTCACACCCTGCCCATACAGCTTCCAAATAACTTGGGGCGGTGGGGTAGCCTAGTGGTTAAAGCGTTGACTCGTCACGCCGAAGACCCGGGTTCGAATCCCCACATGGGTACAATGTCTGAAGCCCATTTCTGGTGTCCCCCGCCGTGATGTTGCTGGAATATTGCTAAAAGCGGTGTAAAACCAAACTCACTCACTCACTCACTCCAAATAACTGAAGACGGTCAAAAGACCTTGGGTGGTGGCTACAAGGTAGTCTGTGACTTCTGTATAAGATCATGGGCATTGTGAAGATTATTTGTGAAGTATCTTGACCATTTTCATTACAATTCCTTTTCCTGCAGCTATTTTTAGGTTCACACATTTACTGGACCTATAATTTTAATTCTTGTGTTTGACAAGTGATGGCAATCTTATGAAGTAGTAAGTACAGTACTAAGATCATGTCTTATTGTCTTTGTTGCACTGTATTTCATCCAGAGATGAAGTGTACTTGTAAATTATATTACATAGGTAAATAGATAGAATGCCGGTTTGAGATGTGTCTGTCTGTGTGTCTGCAGGTGCGTCACCATGACACTGATCCCCAGAAGGAGGGTGACCGTGGGAGTAAGATGGTGACAGAAATCTACCTGCCCAGATTGCTCGTTACAAAGGTAAGAACATAGCTTTCAAGATATAGGCACAAGTTATGAATGCTCTTTAATCTGCCAATATATTAATTAAAGCTGTCGATTTTCTTGTTTGCTGTTGAGATTTGGTCAAGTGAGCATCGCTGGGTAGTATGGAGACCTGGAGAGATCTGGCTGTGTTGGTGTAGAATTGTACCCAGAGGACATCTGTCATGTAGATCTGGAGACCCAGACACTTGTGACATAGCATTAATGTAACCCCATCTTTGTTCCTCAGGGCACACTCCAGCAGTTTGTGGATGACTTGTTCGAGCGTATATTCAGCACAGCACACCGTGGTTCCGCACTGCCACTGGCCATCAAATATATGTTCGACTTCCTGGACGACCAGGCTCTGCTTCACAACATACAGGAGCATGAGACAGTCCACACGTGGAAATCCAACAGGTAGAGAGAACTAGTGGCTGTGACAGGCTGGACTAAACTACTAGCCTTGACAAGGACAAACTAGCCTTGAGTAGTACAGATACAACTAGCCTTGACAAGGACAGACTAGCCTTGAGTAGTACAGATACAACTAGCCTTGAATAGTACAGACACAACTAGCCTTGAATAGTACAGACACAACTAGCCTTGACTAGTACAGACACAACTAGACTTGACTCGTTTAAAAAATACAGACTAGGTTTGAATAGTACAGACACAACTAGCCTTGACTAGTACAGACTAGCCTTGAGTAGTACAGACACAACTAGCCTTGACTAGTACAGACACAACTAGACTTGACTCGTTTGAAAAATACAGACTAGGTTTGAAAAAAGTACAGACACAACTAGCCTTGACAAGTACAGACTAGCCTTGAGTAGTACAGACACAACTAGCCTTGACTAGTACAGACACAACTAGCCTTGACTAGTACAGACTAGCCTTGACTAATGCAGACACAACTAGCCTTGACTAGTACAGACACAACTAGACTTGACTCGTTTGAAAAATACAGACTAGGTTTGAATAGTACAGACACAACTAGCCTTGACTAATGCAGACACAACTAGCCTTGACTAGTACAGACACAACTAGACTTGACTCGTTTGAAAAATACAGACTAGGTTTGAATAGTACAGACACAACTAGCCTTGACAAGTACAGACTAGCTTTGAGTAGTACAGACACAACTAGCCTTGAATAGTACAGACACAACTAGACTTGACTCATTTGAAAAATACAGACTAGGTTCGAATACTACAGACACAACTAGCCTTGACTAGTGCAGACTAGCCTTGAGTAGTACAGACACAACTAGCCTTGACTAGTTTGAATAGTACAGACTAGGTTTAACTAGTACAGATACAACTAGCCTTGAATAGTACAGACACAACTAGCCTTGACTAGTACAGACAACTAGACACAACTAGCCTTGACTAGGTACAGAATAGTACAGACACAACTAGCCCATTTGATAAGTACAGACTAGCCTTGAGTAGTACAGACACAACTAGCCTTGACTAGTACAGACACAACTAGCCTTGCCTAGTACAGACACAACTAGCCTTGAATAGTACAGACTAGGTTTAACTAGTACAGACACAACTAGCCTTGACTAGTTTGAATAGTAGAGACTAGGTTTAACTAGTACCGATACAACTAGCCTTGACTAGTACAGACTTCCTGTGCATAGTACAAATACAACCTAGCCTTGACTAAAACTGACTACCCCTAAACAGTTCAACTGAAGTCCTTAAATGTCATTGTATGTACCGATCGGTTATTAAAATGTGTTTTATATAAATATATATTATGTGTGTTTATTATGTTTCAGTCTACCTCTTCGTTTCTGGGTAAACGTGATCAAGAACCCCAACTTTGTTTTCGATATCTACAAGTCTCCGATTGTGGACTCGTGTTTGACAGTGGTCGGACAGACGTTCATGGACTCCTGCTCTGTCAGTGAACACAGATTGGGCAAAGACTCTCCTTCCAGTAAACTACTCTATGCCAAAGATATCCCCAAATACAAGAAATGGGTGGAGAGGTAACATATAAACTTTAAGGATGTGTTTTGTCACCAGATAGACACAGATTCTTATGTCTCATTCAGAGCTGGTAGTCAAATGGTCAGCGTGTTAGCTTGTTGGGAACAAGTGCTGGGTTTGACCCCCCACATAGAAACAGATTCTAAAGTCTCATTCTGAGTTGGTAGTCAAATGGTCAGTGTGTTAGCTTGTTGGGAACAAATGCTGGGTTTGAACCCCCACATAGACAACCGTTCTTGAATCAGTGGTTTCTGACCTCAATAATACTATTATAAAAACACCATCAACACAACCATATCAATCCCTTGACATGGCATGCAACATGTGAAGATCAGATGTATCTGTATTAAGCTTTTACTTTCTGTATCCATGTTCAGGGCTGATGGGATTGTATCCTGCATTATCTGCATGTATTAGATGGTGTTGTCTTTCCTCAGGTACTACCAAGACATCAAAATGATGCCTGCCATCAGTGATCAAGACATGACGGCCATGTTGACTGAGGAATCACGGGTAATTATATACACCTCAAGAGTGTTCATTTCAAAAAGGGACAAGCCTGAATTAAGTAGTTGCTGAATTGTACTGAATTCCGCAGATTGTGAGGAATTGAACTGAATTCAGTCATAGTTGATGAATTATACTGAAGTTAGTAGAGGGTGATGATTGTGTCCTGAATTTAGTAGAGGGAATGAATTATCATGAATTTAATAGAGAGGGGAATTGTCAGGAAATCAGTAGAGGGGAATTAATTATCATGAATTTAGTGGAGGAGAATGATTGTGTGATCGGTTTAGTAGAGGAGGATGATTGTGTCTTGAATCTTGTAGTTATAGAGGGGGATGAATTGTCATGAATTTAGCAGATGGGGGGTGGGGGTGATTGTGTCATGAATTTAGAAGTGGGTGATGATTGTGTCATGAATTTTGCAGAGGGTGGTGATTGTGTCATGAATTTAGAAGTAGGTGATGATTGTGTCATGAATTTGTCATGAATTTAGTAGTGGGTCCCAGGTCTTAAAGTTCAGGTCTTAAGAGTAGATCCTGGTCCATCTTACATGTAGCTGATGTCAAAGGAGTAAATGTGAAACTGTTGATTTTCAGTTACATCAAGGAGAATTCAACACGAACGCGGCTCTCATGGAACTGTATAAGTACATACAGAAATACTATGAAGAGGTGAGAAACATATCTTTGACAAATATATGGCCTGATCAGAAACATGATCCTGCTAAGGATGACAAATAGGACTGGGTTTAGATTTCTCCAACTTCATCTTCACGACACTGCAGACTGGTCTCACACATCAGCCAACACTGAAGGATATAACGGAGATACAGATCACTCACTCACTCAGCCAACACTGTAGGATATAATGCAGATACTGATCACTCGCTCACTTACACATCATCCAACACTGAAGGATAAAACGGAGATACAGATCACTCACACATCAGCCAACACTGTAGGATAAACCGCAGATACTGATCACTCACTCACACATCAGCCAACACTGTAGGATATAACGCAGATACTGATCATTCACTTACTCATTCAGCCAACACTGTAGGATATAATGCAGATACTGATCACTCACTCACTTACACGTTCAGCCAACACTGTAGGATATAACACAGATACTGATCATTCACTTACTCATTCAGCCAACACTGTAGGATATAATGCAGATACTGATCACTCACTCACTTACACATTCAGCCAACACTGTAGGATATAACACAGATACTGATCATTCACTTACACATCAGCCAACACTGAAGGATGTAACGGAGATACAGATCACTCACTCACTCAGCCAACACTGTAGGATAAACCGCAGTTACTGATCACCTACTCACTTACACATTAAACTAATACTGCAGCACACAACGTAGGTACTGATCACTCACTCACTCACACATCAGCCAACACTGTAGGATATAACGCAGATACTGATCACTCACTCACTCACACATCAGCCAACACTGTAGGATATAACGCAGATACTGATCACTCACTCACTCACACATCAGCCAATACTGTAGGATACAATGTAGATACTGATCACTCACTCAATCCATAACACATACATGCACTCATGCTGGGTTGTTTCTGATTAGGGACCATTCATAATTTATGGCTAGGGGGGGTGATGATGTGTTTTATGGAGAAGCACGTACAATGTGGATGGACACCCACCCCCCTAAAATTTATGTACAAATAAGTGACCCCCCTGCATGTCACGTACAAAATCAATAACCCCCCATCCCCTTCCCATAATTTTAAACATATTTTTATTGACACCCCCCCAACAAAATGGGTCCCCCCTCTTAAAATCATCATCACCCCCCAGCCATAACTTATGATCCCTTACAAATCATGTTTGAACTCAGTAACTCTCTCATTTGTGTCTATTGTTATCATTACTAATTATGGGTGTAATCACTCGAGTGCTTCTCACTACAGATCATGTACACTCCCTCACTAACTCACTGTTTCTCATTAAAGATCATTTGTGCCCTCACTGTTTCTCATTACAGATCATGAACACTCCCTCAATCACTCACTGTTTCTCGTTAAAAGATAATGAACACTCCCTCAATCACTCACCTGTTTCTCGTTAAAAGATAAAGAACACTCCCTCAATCACTCACTGTTTCTCATTAAAGATCATGAACTCTCCCTCAATCACTCACTGTTTCTCATTACAGATCATGAACACTCCCTCAATCACTCACTGTTTCTCGTTAAAAGATAATGAACACTCCCTCAATCACTCACCTGTTTCTCGTTAAAAGATAAAGAACACTCCCTCAATCACTCACTGTTTCTCGTTAAAGATCATGAACACTCCCTCAATCACTCACTGTTTCTCATTAAAGATCATGAACACGCCCTCAATCACTCACCTGTTTCTCGTTAAAGATCATTTGTGCCCTCACTCACTATTTCTCGTTACAGATTATGTTCCTGAATCAGTCAATCACTGTTTCTCATTATACATCATGTACACTCACTCACTCACTGTTTCTCGTTACAGATTATGTACACTCCCAGAATCACTCACTCACTCACTGCTTCTCGTTACAGATCATGTTTGCCCTAGAAGAGGATGAGTTTGCAAGGAGGAGTAAACTGGGCATTAAACTGGAGCAGGTTCAAACCGTAATGGAAGGAGATGCAGTCTGCTAGTTCCTCCCACTGTGCCACCAGGTCCCAGGACCAATCTCTTCCTCTCCCTTCACATGCGTGGGTCACTCAACTCGGTGCTCTCGCTGCTCTGGGAGATCATGTCAGAGTTATCTCCCTTTCTTGGTGCTGCAGACGTCTATGCACATTTAGTTTGATGTTGCCTTTCTGACTGAATTGTCTTCGGAAATAATTAATGGAGCAGTATTTCATTCTGATTATTTCATCAGCTGACCATCGTGGATATATGCTTGTTTCAGTTTGGATCGAAGCCAGTGAGGTGTTTTTTTATTAGAACTCCCAGCTGAGACACTGGTGCTTTTTTTAAAACTAGACCTCCAGGCGCTTGTGCACAACAATATGTTGATATATTCCCAGTGACAAGTGTGAACAAGAATTTGTGTGACTTTGAAAGACAATCAGTGCTGAAAACACACATTGTTGACAACAAACTGAGTCTCTGGCAGTGTTCTGTGTTACAATAATGGCCAATATCATGGCCTTGGATCAGGATATATAGGAGCTAGTCATGTGACCAAATTGGTCCGGTATAACATCATTAGGTGATATCCGACAATGATATATCATGAATTGTTTGACCTACACTGATGATTGTGTAGAAGCGACAGCTAACTGTGCTATAATCACCCACTGATGTAGACTTCATACCTTGTACATTACCATTGCCTTTAAACAGCACATATGAATAATAACCTTTTAGTCTGCAATAACATACTTAAGAAGAATGGCAATTGCTCATGAGATTTCTAGACTTATGCTCAAAACAATAGAATCTTATAGCTGCTTATTTTCATGGAAATGTTTTGAAAATATGTTTGCACGTATCCTAGTAGATATGCCACAATTCAAGTGCCAAGTAATTTGGGGGATTATCATTCCTGTAGGGTGCTTGCAGACAGTTGGCTCTGCAGGTGAAACTCAACATGTTGTATTTGATAACTTTTGACAGTCTGTCCTTCCAATGTAAACTATGAGCTTTATTCATATTGTTATATATACAAGTGCATTCATAATACTCAGACTTATTACCATCTTGTTGTCACTTTCCTGTACCATTGTTCTCAGAAATTTTTTAACATTTTGGAATCTCAGAGTTTGTTCTGTGGAATAAGGTACCATATTTTAAAGATCACCATTTTTGCATGAAAATATGTTAAATACTTGAAGATTTGTTTTGTCAGTCATGGGAATTTTAACACCAACAGAGGAATTCGATAAATTTTGGTATTGTCAGAGCAAATAGAAGCTTTTTCTTAGTAATGGTTGTCATGGTAACCTTGGAACTTCCATGAACAGCTCATTGTCTTTCAAGCTTTGGTTTACGCAAAGCTGTTTCCCATGATGCACAGTGAAATAGTGCCTTTTTTGGCCAACAGGTGGAGTTGCAATCTACAGGGGGAAAAACAAACAGATAAGGTGTTGGCCTTTCTTATGCTTGATGTGTTTACGTTTATGACTTTTCCTCATGTAAACAACTGCAAACTTGAAAGTTTCAATAGTTAAACGGTACATTGATGTTTCATGCTGGAAGAATGATTGGTGTAAGATTTTCATGTTATTTTCAGGTGAGAAGTAAAACCTAGTTTAATCGTTCCTGCAGAAGAGTTTGGGAGCCATGTTTTATAACTGTTTACATGCAGTGTCTTATGATGCTCTATGCATTGACAAACATTTATCAGTTACTGGCCTCTTGGACTGACCCCTTGGACTCAGAATTAGGGGGCCTCAAAATATCTCATTAGGTTGACTAGCTATCACCACACCATACTATCACACAGCCATATTACACTGTGCTACACACTGAACTAAACACTATTATCACACTGAACTAAACACTATTATCACACTGCTACATACTATTATCACACAGCCCTACCACACTGTACTACACACTATTGTCCCACTGTACTACACACTATTATCACACAGCCATACCACAATGTACTACACACTATTATCACACAGCAATATACTATTATCACACAGCCATACCACACTACTACACACTATTATCACGCAGACATACCACACTGCTACACACTACTACAGATGGAGATGTATTCATTTACATTTGACCATGGTAAAAGAGAAATAAGTTTTCATAGCGTAAGTAATTACGATTTGAAAATGTTAGTTGAGGTTTCCTTTTGATGTGGTACAGGTACATAATTGTATATTCCAACACTATAGACAATAAGTTGCCCCACCTGACATAGTAGACCACACAATGATTGGTCCATCTGTTTGGACCTGAGAGGACCTGGACCAGAAGCCTTTGATCTAGGAACAAAGTCATCAGGGCAGTAACTGATAAACTCAAAAATCTTACAAGGGCAAATCTTTTTGTAACATTTGTAGTTGATCATCCATGGTGCATTGGTGTCCATTACAAGATCACAGAAGAGCGTTGTTTTTATGTAAGTTCTTTGTTGAGACCAAGCTGTGCCCAAGAACCATCGGAGAATTGAGCTTGAGTTAACACAGACAGGCCTACACTGTTCTACCCTGCTGCCTATGGCTGGAGTCGGCCAAACTAAAGGATTCCATCAAAATTTGTTACATTTGAAAATTGAATCTCAGTTGAGGATTCTGTTGAATTTTTGGAATGGGTTTGTCTTTATACTTGGTGGATCTGAATATGTTACTATATTTCTATGGCATCTATCAACCAACTGCTGAAAGCTATGCTGTTAAAGCTCTCTGATATTGAAGACAATCTACATTTTAGATGCTAATGGACACAGTCTTTTTGCTTCATTTTCAATAATCAAGAACTAGCAAAATTTAGTCAGGATGAGTAAAACTGATTCATTCTTTCCAGGGTATGTTTGTGTTGAAGATCCAAGGAGCATTTTTATTTTGTGGGTGAAGCATTGGGTGTAATTGTTATCAGTCATGAATTTATATTACTGATAACTTGATAGTGGTGGAGACTAAAATATTTGTTTTACAGAATATATATTGGATCTTATAGATTGTGTAGTTTAGGGAAAAGTGGGGTAGTCCATTGGTTAATGCATTTTCTGGTCTGTCTAGTGGTCTGGGTTCATTTCTTCACAAGGGGAACATGATTTGAAGCTTAAATTGTTAGCTCCAAAATTAAGTGTAAGTCACTCACTCACCCACTATGGCAGGTTATGGAGGAATAAAGAGGGGCCCTTAACATGGGTGAATTACAGTTACTTGTTCAGGCCTGATGAATCCTTGTGGTTGATACCATGAGTTCATGCCATGGAGACAATGAATCAGTTCTGTTCTAATTTAGCTTGTATCAGAGAGCTGCCTCGTATTCATCTGTATATATTCCATTGTCATAGCAACATGTTTCCAGCACTGTGTTCAATCATCTTCATCATCATCATCATTGCTGATATCTTGGTCATCAGATAAAAATTGGGTCGTCACAGAATATTGGTGCCAAATTTGTAGTGTCAGCTTCTAGGAGAGGGTGGGACACACAGTAGCCAGTCTAGACCAGGGCAATTTGTTTGAAGTCTGTTCATTAATGAACATTTTTTTTAGAGAATGTTGTTCATGTCTTCAGTGGTTAATCCTGAAGACTGAGACAGCAACATTCTTTCCCAGGAATTTGACAATTTCCACCTCTGAGAAACTTACTGGTCAGTGTCGTCGCTGAGAATGTCATTTCACCAGTAATTTTCTAAAGATAATCTTCCATTAATGTAACCACTCCCAGTGTTTCCAGACTGTACAGAAGCAATATATTAATGGCGTTGGTCTAAGAAACATTATAGTTTCAAATGCGAATGGGGAGGGATATAAAGGTATTATTAAACCTTGAGGATCTATGGGAGATTTTTCCATCGATAATCACTCATGATTACGTTACCATGACGTTGGAGCTAATTTTATCATTTCTCCTGCGACTCTGTACAAGTATTAACTGAAGTGATAAAATCGCTGGATATCATGGTAGCACCATTGTTGATCATATCAGAGTTTATTTTTGTACATTACCGTTGTCGGCTCGCCTCCACACCCTGGTGGCGCCCCCTAGTGGCGACACGAGCCATGAAAGGTGTGATACTTGCTGTACTTCTGTATATACATTTGTTAGCTATGCAAATACTGTAAGTAGGATTTTGTGTGAACACGTTGGTGTATATAGCTGCTACCTGTTCGGGAGACAGGGGAAATGTGTAGAGTTGTTTGTGTTTCTTTGTATATACCCTCATATGACAATTGTGTAGGCATCTGTGGAAATATAGACCAATACTGACTATAGTATACAAGCCTACTGAGTATCGTGAAGGCATCTGTGAGAATGTAGGCCAATATCTGTAGTGAGTACGATTCCTGTTGAGTATTGTGTAGGCGTCTGTGAAAATATAGGCCATTATCTATAGTGACTACCATTCCTATGGAGTATTGTGTAGGCATCTGTAATATCATAGGTCAATATCTATAGTGACTACGATTCCTGTTGAGTATTGTGTAGGCATCTGTGACAATACAGGCAAATATCTGTAGTGACCTCAGTCCTATGGAGTATTAGTGTTCAAATAACCTCTCTGTTGCAATCTTGCCCCATGAGTATCACAATCTCCATGAAGTTAGAATTTGACCAACTCACAGAGTGTGTGGACCAATCCGATTGCTCGTAGCTGAATTTCTTATTTGCATATCTTTATGTCCATGGATTTTATTGGATAAGCTTTAAATGTGAGAATTTGATTGACAGGTAGACCTGGGAGCTTGGTGACCTTGGGGCAAACTAATAATCATTGGTGAATTTGTGTTGTAAATCTAGAGATGAGACTAACATATACACACAAATATCCATGAATGTTGTTTGAGTGTTGATTGTCCCACATAGCATGTTGTTTATTTCCTTAAGATACTTACTCTGGTTATAGTGACAGTATGATTTGTACAAAGTGAGACTTGTAAGTCAAGCATGAATAATCTATGAATATTTGTTTAAACATCAATTGCAAATATAAAGGAACATTGATTCTAGCTGGATATATAGGATATACTATATGTTGTTCACAGGAAGATGGCCAGCTGATTTCCTGTGTATCTTATGTCCACCAATATTTCCTCATCTACAGATTCTTGCCCTTGGTTGTAGTGTACAGTCTACGGTCTACAGTCGTCAGCATTCACGCAGATAAAACGCTTGGAAGATCACACATTTACAGACTGAAACAATACCATGTTTATTTGTAGAAAAAAAAAACATGTAAAAAAAAGTTCTTTTGTTTGATACTTACACAGCAATAAAATAGCACAATGCCTTTCTCATGTAGTAGATTCTAGATTTATTTGTATATTGAACTTGTGGCCAAAACTATTGAACCTAGTCGAAATATTGTACAATAGAAGTTCTTAATAAATGGCTTTTATAATATTCTTTTAAGAACCATGTACTTTCACTCGTGTTAGATCATTTATTTAACTATATTTGTATAAAGTATTCTTAAAATGGCGTTTACATTTTATAGAGAATTTAGATACAAAGTTATATATTTTAATTTTGCGTATCCAGTTAGATGTTTTGATATTTTTGTTTATGCTTGAATAAATTTAAAATAGACTGATCTAGGTAAATTAGAAGGTGAGAAAATCAACCATATAATTTTCAACAGCCTCCTAGTCTACAGCTGAATAGCAGAGGGTATTTTAATGCTTAAAGGGAGTATATCATGTATGTTCATTAATTCAGCTAATCCATTTCATCAAAGTGTCTTTTTCAGTGTAAATAACACATTTTTAACAAAATATCCTTTTGCTACTCTAGATTCACGTTGACTAGCCATCTTAAATGAATTAAATTGTGAATTGAAATGTTTATTATCTCAGTAGCAGAATGTATTTAGAGTGAGTGGTTGTCCTTATTGCTAGGTACCTAGACTTGCTGAGAGTTGTTTATATATATTCAGTGAGTGAGTGAGTGAGTGAATGGGTTTATATATCCAGGCCAGCAATATCACAGCTGTAAGAGAATGCCAGACAATAATATTCAGAGATGAGCAAACTTGTCTGTGAAAGTCCACGACACTATTTCCAGACCAATTAAATTGTAAATTAACAAGTGTGGTTTCAAGGGTATAATGTTTGACAGCTCTTAGCAAGTCAGCCATCAGGTTTTGTTAAATGTTTGGCTTAATTTGTGTGGTCTTGATGAGTTGTGGATGCTGTTTAGATATTTGATTTTGTAAATTTTGTATGTTTGAGAGCGAGAGGGAAATGTGGTTTTCATAAACATCTTTTGTATGTGTTTGTATACATCCTTGTATGGCTGCCACATTGTGAAGTCTTCAGTCTGCACAGTATTCTAATAAACTGGATGGCCTTCACATTGATGTACCGTGACCTTCAGGGTCAACCATTTTCAATAAATACAACAGTAACTATACAAGTATGTCTTTTTTTGTTTGTCGGAGTCTACTCATAGCTGACATCATAACCCAGCTCAGTGGATCAGTGTGCAACTTTTAGCTTGTCCTACCAGGTACCCATCAAGGATGGGAAAGCCACATTAACTTGGTGCACCTAAATGGTACCCATGCACTGCTTGGTGAACCAAGGCATATTATTGACCATGTCAGTGGATTAGTGTGCACTGGATATTAATTGTGAGTGAGTGAGTGAAAGTCAGTAAGCATCATAAGACTTTACTGGATTAGGATCTGAACTTTGGGTGAGGGGGTTTTGTTTATTGTAGGAATAATCAGACAACCTGTTGTACTTGACCAAGCCTCTGTGAGTGAGTGGGTGGGTGTAAGTATGCCTCATCAGACATGTTGCATTGGACCATTGAGAGTAATTTTAGTGTCACAATCATCAGACAACCTGTTGTACTTGACCATGGATCTGTGAGTGAGTGAGTGATACACTGCTTTTAGCAATATTTCAGCAATATCACAAGAAATGGGCTTCAGAAATTGTATCCATGTGGGGAATCAAACTCAGGTATCCAGTGTGAGCAGCGAATTGGTTTAACCACTAGGCTACCCCACTGACCCAATCACACTGGAAAGGTGCAATCTGCACAGTGTTATTATGTTATGTTGAATGAATACTCACTTTAAATTTAAATACAGGTGGTAGGAATGTGTTCTCTCTGAATTAGAGTTGGAAGTCCACATAAGACTACTTCAGATACCAAGTTCAGATGGTTTCAGTTCAGAGTTATTCACAGGATTTTATTAACTAACTCATTTTTATATATAATTCACTTAAATGATAGTAATTTGTGTTCTTTTTGTCAATGTGAACTAGAAACAATAACCCACTTATTTTTGGATTGCTTCTGGCAATCACTATTAGCTTACTCTATGAAAGTGCCCACATGGTCATAATATGAAATTTGACCTTAACCTTATATGGTTGGTCTGCAGGAAATTATATATACTGATGATGTGTTTGACCTAGTGTTGCCAACTAAATTCTTTATCTATAAATGTAAAGTTTTGAAAACATTCCTAAACACTTTAAACATTATACCCACAACAGGTATACCATTGAAAGAAATATTGCTTATAGCAAAAGCCAACAAGCTGTATATAGTAAGTTCTATACCAAGTGGATGTTGTAGGATGAACTAGCTTATGTAGATATGTAGATTTCTGATCTTGATTTAATGAGTACAACCACATTCTTGGGAAGTGGTTGAAATCTCACACTGACACTGGCACTTTGACAAATAATAACTCCCTTCCCCACCCAATAACGACAAAAAGACCAGTCCAGAAACCAGTCCAAAACATATACAGTAGACTCTGTCTAAACCGACATTGATTAAGAATAGACTAAATACACAGTCGTTTTCATATGTATAGTTCCTCCAGCAGCATGTCTTCCTCTCTTGCCCATGGACATGGTACAAGAAGCTTGGATAGAAGCACTTGACGACAGACCAAACCAGCCCTTAGTGAATACATTTGCAGACTATGTGACAACAACCTGTGTAGACGACGATGCTATGTTTAAAGTGTCCATGTGGAATCAGTTTGGTAACGATGGCCCTTGTACGAACAATCACTTGGAGGGTTGGCATTCCCAATTAAACAAATCACTGAGAAAAGCACATCCCAATGTCTTTGAATTCATCTCTCATCTATAAAGCATTGAGGATGCTAACAGAAAGAAAAAAGCCCAACTAGATCTTGGTGCAGCTCCAGTGCGCAGAAAACGGGTGTATAGAGAAATTGACTGTCGGCTGCAGAGACTTAAGAACCACTTGTTAGCCAAAGGTCGCCAAACCAAGCTACAGTTCCTTGATGCTGCAAGCCACCTCAAGCTCAATCTTTAATGAACTATATTATGTGTATAGATGATGCATATGAAAAGTGCTAATATTATCATCTTAATAAATGATGCCCTCTGAATGTTCTTTTTATCTGTTACTTAATTGGATCATACCATGTAGACATGGGGATGAGGAATGTTTTCTCGTTCCATTGCCAATGTGCCTACACTCCCTATATATGTTTTTAGGACTGTAGGCAGAATGTCATGTAGGCACAATGTGAGTGAACCCAAGGAGCAATCATCGAAAGAAATTGGTTAGGGTAATTTTTCAGATTGTTCTTTCCAGGTTGTTATGGTAGATAAGTATAACATGGTTGTTTTTTGTTTTATTTAGACTGCGCAAATTGCATTTGCAAACTTCACATGATGCAACCTGCTACTTTAAAGTGATGACTAATATATCATGACCATAAACTTCCTGAAGTCTTCAAGAAATATTCAGTGAGTCATGACTTTTCAGTAAGTGAAGTGAGGTTTCTAAGAGTTAAACACGTTTTCAGGCCCTGACAACTACGTACACATGACAGATTATAATGGCTCTCTTAACCATGTTTGCCGGTTTTAAATGTAAACTTCTTATATACTTTCTAAAAATGTCATACAAAATATAATTTGGTTTAATTTTGTTTTTTTACAAAGCAGTAATGAACTAAAACAATACGATTTCAATTACTGTCATTTTGAGAAATTAAAACGAAAGCCTACACTATACATTCAGTTTGACAGAAGAGCAGCCAGCCATATACAAAAACATGTTTCAGGAATATTGCAATGGATTTAAGGATATTTACAGTTTTTCAGTATAACAGGTTTGTCATTGAATACATATTCTTGATTTGATATGGACATGGCAACTTCATTCATAAATTGGAACACTTTGGACAAGCGAACAAGACATGAAATTCATCCTGGATGATGTGATCATTACAATTTGTACAAATAATAAAAAGTAATTTGACATCCAGACAAGATCTGTAAAACAAACCGTAATTAAGCTGATGTAATTATCTGTCAGGGTCACGTGACTACCCCTCCAAAAACTCATTTTGGCTTGTCCAATCAGTTACTATTAGTGAAAATATCTGATCTATGTCAACCAACCAAAATCGTAATTAAAAGACCTATTATATATGTCACAAAAGAATTCCAGTATTGATCAGTGATGTTTCAACTATATAAAGAGGTCAGTAATTTCCTATCAGCACACTTGACCTCACAATAAATATTGAAACATCTCCTTGTCTGATCAATGACGGAATTCTACATTCTTATTCTTTTGTACAACTCTATGAATTATGTAAATAATGTCATTTCGAAATGTATTATTTATGAAAAGAAAGTGACAACATCATGTACATAGTGTATAGGCATGAATACTGTTGGCTTAATATCTCAGTCGTTATTGAATATGTAAGTGAATTGGATGTGCTGTCATGGATTAGTTGTGCCTATATTGCACTCATATTGCACTAACTGTGATTTCCTTATTTCTCAGGACTTGTTCCTCTTGGGATGCATACTATTTAGGACCTCTTTTGCATCCAGTTTCTGGAGAGAAAGCTACAGACATAGAGAATCTCGCCCAAGTGTCTACTGATATCAATTATATCAACACGAGTTGATAAAGTTACAAATATCCGAGGCTTGCCGAGGATATTTTTATCTTTATCAACGAGTGTTGATATAATTGCTATCAGTAGACACGAGGGTGAGATTCTATTTATCATAAAAAAATTCATTCTCCATTAGTTTTCAATGAAAAATGTACATCTCTCAACACTGTACTACCATTAGACTTGCAGTGCAGCGATGTCATAGCATTGTCAGGGCATTGTACAAAATCTACTGTCAAAACGATATCTCCTAGGAGATATCATATGATCTTACACAAGCGATATCTCCTGTGGAACACAGTTTTGGATGATAAAATATAATTCAGCGTATGTATTATGGCGTAGTCTACACCCCTTCAGTGTATCCATTGTATTTTCAACAGCACTTGTTTCGTTCTTTTCAAGTATAGAGCACTAGCTGCCACACTTTGTTCGGTTTCACAACCTTCTCTGGTTAAATCAGAACAACCATCATTTGAATATCACAATCCAACTTGCCCTCCCTCTGCAATAAGTCTATCTGTGGTAACATCAACGTTTCTGGACTATCTTCCCATCATGCTTCACGTTGTTATCATAACATTGCTTATTGTAATCTAAAAGCTACGAGAGCACACTGTACTTATATTTCACTTGAGTTTACAACAGGATTTCAATGTGAACTCTTCCCCATACTTAGTTTAAGTACATGCCCATCCAACTGGGATGCTACCTTGCTAACTACGAGTCTACGACATATGATATTTATGTAAAGGGTTATCTCTTTCCAACTCTTCATATTCAATGGCCTGGCCCCGAATTCTCGAAACAAACTTAAGTTTTTACTCAAATTTCAAACTGAGTTGGACAATTTGAAACAGCTGAATTTTTAACTCAACTGCATTTTTTTAAATAAAAAAGCCCAAACAACTTAAGTAATCTATCCACCAAACTCAAATCGTCTACTATGTTTGAGTTTAATATCGATTTTAGTTCATTTTGGGAAATGCATTTTCTCAAATTTGAGTAAAAACTCTAACTTAAGTCGAAACTAAGACTTAAGTTTGTTCCGAGAAATCGGGGCCAGGACTTGCAATTAAAAAACAAATATTCAGGCCAACCTATCAATATCCAAACCGGTTCCGTGTGAACTGCTTTAAAGCTAGGCACATTTGGGCAATTTTAAAACATCCTTATTCAGCTCCTATTGTTATATTCCATAGTGGTTTATACAATATTCTTCATCCGGACAACAGTCATACATAGATAACAAAATGACAGATGACCACAGTTGTTTTAGTAGTTAGAAGGGCAAACAAGGGCACCAACCATTGATTATTGTAAACATTCATTGTCACCTTCTTTATTCAAGACGGGTGGTGGAGTAGCCTAGTGGTTAACGCGTTGGCTCGTCACGCCGAAGACGCGGGTTCCAATCCCCACATGGGTACAATGTGTGAAGCCCATTTCTGGTGTCCCCCGCTGTGATGTTGCTGGAATATTGCTAAAA